AGGCGGCGAGGGCGGGCCGGGAGCACCGCCACCCCGGCTCCTCGGGCCGCGAGGAGGCTACGGCTCCGGTGCCGTCCCCACAGCTCGCGGAGCCCACCACGCCGGGACTGAGGCCGGGCGGTGTGTCAGCATCAGTACCCCGGCCCAGCCTCGGCCGGAGGCAGCCACCGCCGAGCTGCGCCGCACATGCTCAGTGCGGCCCGCCAGTCCCTTGGGCGCCGTGGTGGCTCCGGGTTTTAGTCCCGGCCCGGGGGTGGGGCGGGGCGAGAGGACTAGGGGCGGGGCCAGGTGGTCCCAGGACCAGCCGGAGACTGAGGTTCCTCCCAAAGGGGCGGGGCCTGAACCGCGGACCTGCCCCCTGGGGGGCCACCTAACCCCAGGTGCTTCGTCGGACCGGGCCGGAACTTTCCCGCCACTGGCATTTCCTGGCTCGGCCGCCCTAGAGCACTGGGACGGCTCGGCGGGACTCGGAGTCTAGGGCGGGGTTCTAAAAATGCCCCCGCAGGTGCCTGCGGCCGAAGGCTTGTATCTCTGGCTGCTGGTTTGCTGCCTTTCAGAAGCCCCGTTTAATTTCACAGCATTTCTTCATGAAAAGTACCGAAGAGGACGAGCCCAAAATTAGACACCCAGAGCAGAAAGGCTTTGCAAGCCTGCGATGAATCCGAAACAAGATGGTGGGAGAAGGAGGAAGGCGGAGGCCGAGAAAAGGAAAGAGCATCCCTTGTCACCAAGCAAAGGGGAAAGTGTTCACTTAAGGCTGTTCCAAAATGGCCAGCTTGGAACTATTCCCGCCAGTTTGTCACCATAAAAGCAAACGTTGCTTTTTTCAGACACTTTGTAGACAAAAAGATCTTTGGGAACCTACTGTGTGCCCCCAGACGGTTCTAGAAGCTGGGTATACCAGCAATAAACGGAACAGGCAAAACTCATTGTAGGGGAAAAAATAGGAGCCAAATTTTATAGCGTCCCCTTCACCTGTTAAACAATCCCCCAACTGTTCATATCAGACTTGCTGGAACAAAAACCCATAAACCTCAGAAAGCTACCCAAACCCTTCTAGACTCATCTGCAAACCTGCTACCTCCGAACCTCTTAGAAACCATGATGGGCAATTTTTGTTTTCCTTTATGTAGATACTGGGGTTTGAACTCAAGACCTGGGTGCTGTTCACTGACTTTTGTACTGAAGGCTAGTGCTCTACCACTTGAGCTCCACTTCCAGCTTGGTTGGTGCTGAAGTGGGGATGAGAGTCTCACTGACTTTCCTGCTCAGGCTGGCTTCAAACCACAGTCCTCAGTAGCTAGGATTACAGCCAAGAGCCACCAGAGCCCGACTCGATTTTTCTTTCTACTTCAACAACAGAGCTTATAAACAGTGGACGCGAATCAAATTTCATTCAATTACTGTTCACTTCGTTTAGCCCAACCAGAAAAAGAAAAAAGAAAAAAAAAAGCCTGACATTGTATCATGAGAAAAGCCTATTTTGGCGGTTCTCCAGATGATACACTATCAGTGGAAGTTCCTTTCTCAGGAACTGACCATACCAATCTTTGTGACAATGTTCTGCCTCTCTGTTGAACCTCTAGCACATTGTATCTATTGGGTTTGAATCTGGCTTTGTGCCTTCGTGCTTAACCACTTGTATCTTCTCAGTTGTCATTCTGCATCGCTAGCTTCTGTGTGCACACGAAGTGGGTGTTCTCATTTAACTTGCTTGATGAGAACGTCCATAAATAAGACAAATGTGTGTGACAACTGCCAGTTTTCTAGCCTACCTCCCTCAGAACCACCTGTGTCTCCCATCACCTTTCCAAGTTCCAGTCTGTCTTTTCCATGTGTTGGTTATTTCTAAAACCTGGAGAAGTGGAATCATACTACTGAAAGTCCTAAGTAAAGAATCTATTGAAGGATTTTTTTTCTCCGCATGCTCAGTGGCAGATGCGGGTAGCAGTATCTCTGCAACACAAAGAAAGGAAGAGGACAGACACAATGAGAACAAAGAGCTGCTGGGTTCCACATTAGTGATAGAAATTGGGGATAGGCACATCATAGTGAAGACAACAAGAATTAAGATGTAAGGAAAAGCAGTCGTTTTGCTACAAAATTTATGCACACTAAGGAAAGAGAAATAAACAGCCCTCTCCTCCCCCACTCACCCAGTGTTGTCTATGGAACACATCCCAGCAAACAGAAGTCAAGCTTTAGAACTGTTTTCGAAGTAGCAATTATTGCTTAAAGAAAAATCTTTGCTGTTTTAAAAGAAAAGCACACGTGGCAATTTAAACATAGAAAGACAGAGACATTCTGTTTTACATTACTCTTCTGTATTATCCTTAAAAAGACAAACTTGTCTTCTTCCTGCTTTGAAAGCCTGAAATAAATCATGCTCAGAGAAATTTTAGATCATTCCTTTTTATTAAAGCCTTCATTTTCCCCCTTCAGAGAACATATGTACACATACAAAGACCCTCAATATGCTCACTGACTTTAACATGGTAGCCACAGGATGCCAGTCTCTTTAACACATAATTAAAGAGGTTGATGGTGTCAAGGTTTTAATTAAGCAGCCTTACTTTTTTTCTGATGCAAATTTTAGGCTGTGTCCTCTGAAAGAAATTACATACATGGTTGCTCAAATTAATTTTTATTTCAAATGAAAGAAAAAAGTGATTTCAGAAGTTTTCAAAGAAGATCTGAACATGAAAGTGCATGTCTCATTAAAAAAAACTTTAAGCTTGAAGAATGCATAACATCCATATATCTCACATTCAAAATTAGGTAAAATACGCTTATGGCTGAGACCATTCTAGTTAGTTTAGGGAATAGCATAAACATATCATAACTTGTATTATCTATAGACATCTCTGCTAGTAAAGGTATCAATCTGCAGCTTGATCATCAACTTAACAACAGAATTGCATAGGCAACATAATTTCTTGTTAAATATACCAATATGATTTCCCAAGGAAATCAAGGCAAGCCTGTTCTAGTTTTGCAAATGAGATAGTTAAGTTACTTGCCCAAGTTTGATTATAATAATGGTGGTGGTAGCCAGAAGCTGGTGGCTCATGCCTGTAATCCTACTTACTCAGGAGGCTGAGATCTGAGGATCACGGTTCAAAGCCAGCCTAGGAAGGAAAGTCTGTGAGACTCTTACCTCCAATTAACCACCAAAATACTGCAAGTGGTGCTGTGGCTTAAGTGGTAGAGTGCTTGCCTTGAGCTGAAGAGCTCAGGGACATTGCCCAGGCCCAGGGTTCAAGCCCCATGACTGAAAAAAAACAAACAAACAAAAATGATGGTGGTTCTTAGAAATTTCTAATGATCTATGCTTTCCTTATACCATATTAATTAAAGATCATAGATCAAATTACTACAAGAATTTTTTTAAATACCTAATTTACAAAACTGAGATCAAAGATCCCTAACTTAATTCAGGCTATGGAGCCTGAGTGACTTATACCTATTAACAGAAATTCCTAGTTAACCAAGTGGCACAAAGGGAATACTGTCAGTTCCATAGTCCGTGTAGTCCCACAGGGACTTAGACACATCACTACATTTAAACAAAATTGAAATGATTTTTAAAGATTTTTAATTTATTTTTATTATCTTGAAGTAGCAATTGAAAATATCTTTAATAGATGACTATTCAAGCATGGTG